GCGCAGTAAACATGGCGGCGCCGAACATGGAGCAGAGGAAGGCCTGCTGGGGAGCGCGGGACGAGCTCTGGGAGTGCTTGGACAGGAATAACGAAGATGCAGCCAAGTGCCAGCACCTGAGGCTGTCTTTCGAGTCTAAATGTCCCCAGCAGTGGGTGAGTAGCGACAGCTCCTTCCTGCTCCTGTTATGCCAAGGCCAAAGCTTGTACTGCAGGAATATAGCGTCCCATGTAGAAAGTAACAAGAGTACCGTGTATATTTACCATCCGTATCGTCTAACGTAATTATGAAAAGGTCTGAAAGGTGCTTGGAAACTACTGCTACTAAACAAGAGTTAGCATGGAAGTGAGGTGGCATCCAGGGCTTAGAGTAGCATGGCATTGTAAGACTCCCATTTGACATGTGACAGGGCATACAAATACCATTTTTCATGCAGAATAATTTCACTCTATACTATCTGCTTACCTGCAGGTGTTACATATTCTGTAGTTTAGTTTTCAGAGTCTATGCTGATTTTTTTAAATAGCCATTGCTGTTTTATTATAGTGTTATGTATGTAATATACGTATTATACATATTTCTGGGGGTTAGAGTGGAACCTTATTTAAGTTCAGTGATCAAAGATACCTGTTTTACTTTGTCTTGTTGAATGAAGCATCCTTCCTCTGCTGGTTTCTCTTAAACAACACAAGCTATTTCTCTTTTGAAACAGATTAAGCATTTTGACAAAAGAAGAGACTATTTAAAGTACAAAAAGAAGCTTGAAACTGAGGGATATTCTCCACTAGAAACAACCGGAAAGTCATAGCTACTCAGCTTTCCAAATACATCGAATGAGAGTAAGTTTAAGGAAAAGAGAAGTGACAGAAGCTGCTTGAGCTAAAAAAGTGATGTCTGTAAAAATGCAGGCTGCTGGCTCTTGCTGTCGTGTCTCCTGGATCTGCCTAAAGATGGTCATGGATGGCTTTTTTCTTCATGAAGAATGAGTAAAAGAAATACACTTTAAGGCTCTTCATAAACTCATGTGTTTGGATGCAGAATTACAATTGAAAACTATTTCATGAGAATTAATGATTACATAATAATGTAATGAACTTATTCAAGAGTAATAAAAGTGTTTTTCAGTGAGCTACCTTTCCTTAGAATAAATGCCCCACCAGCCCTTGTGAGAAGGGGTGGCATGAGTTTCCATTGTTTATCAAATCCTTGAAAATGTTAGCTTCACCATGAAAGAGCAGAGATAACATATCCTATATGAGAGAGAGAGAGATAATATATCTTGTGTGTACAACAGTCTTAAGTTACATATTTGGAATACTACAAAAAAGTTATCTATAAGTTTAATCATACAGGTCAATTTTGAATTAACATCTGTACTAGGGCAATTATTTATTATTTTCACATGATGGTCATTACATTATTTAGTATTTTTAATTGATCTTATTGTAGCAACTCCACTAGAGTCACATTTACATTGGGATTAATCAATTTCAACATGAAGGGCACTTGAATAAGTTAACTTTTTAGAACAGGTTAATTTGTAAAATTGTATATAATTACTACAGCTAGATGCTGCTGGTTTTAAATACTTTACTGTGACTGCAGTTACCTGAAGACACCAATTTCAATCATGGTTGTCACAACGTAAGGAAGCACTGTTAAAATACTATGTTCATGGGTGAGAGTCATGGTACTATGCTGGTTTTCTAATAAAAGAAAATTACATGCCACATGCAATATAAACAATATTTATTATCAATACAACAGTTTATTTAATGAGGTAAAGTATTAAGGCATTGAAAAAAAAAACTGAACTACAGAGACTAAAACATGCAGAAGTTCAGTATCCTCATTCACCCTGAGTTGTCTCTTATCTATTCAGAATCCTGTGTTTTAGCACCATAAGAACAGCTTCCCTTCCCACACCCCCTCTGGCTGTACTGTAAGGCACGAAACTCTCAGCAGTTATTTTTGTTGTCTTTGCTTGATCACTTGCTGCCTTGTGTACTCCCAAATCAGCAGAGCTCCACTTACATGGACATTAAGTGACCGAATAATACCCTGTTGAGGAATTTCCACACAGACATCCAGGTGATGAATCAGGTTTGCTGGGATTCCTTCATGTTCGTTTCTAATCAAGGAGAAACAGTAACTTCAGTTTGTGAAAAGAATGGTGCTCCGGAAAAAGGAAGATGCAGAAGACACAAGAGCAACCAGGAACCATTTAGAAAATACAGAACTATCTGCACTCTATAATTTTGGGGATTTTTTTTTAAGCAGCAATGTAAATGCTATCCCTGTTTGTAACAGACACCAAAAAAAGCACAGGAAGCCTGACTAAGTTTTGATTCATAATCCAACTTTTCATCTCAAAAGCCAAATCATAATTGAAAGAAAATTGACTTTGTCTCAAGTTTGAAGCTTAGGGCTAAAAAGTAACAGAACTCTAGGGAGTCACTTCATCGCTTCAGTGGCCTGCCTGGTAATAGGAGATGATTCCCGCTTTTCCCTGACATCCTCCCCATCTGTGCTTGTACTGTAAATGCCAAACTTGCTGTTTCTTCCAGTGCGTTCGTCCTCCTGTATTTGGTTTCCCCCAGCACCTGTGCTCCTCTCCTCTTCCTCCTTCCTTCCCTGTCAAGCAATGCACAGAGGCTGCCTCCTCCCTGCGGCCTTTTGGCACTATACTATTAATGAGTGGGTGGTACCTTTGCCACCCCTGGAGAACTAGGGGGGGAAAAAAAAAAAAAGAGATCTCACCCCAGCAATAATAGAGACTTCTCTGGGAAGCAATATTCTGTAAGATCAAAACTTTTAGCTGTCTGCTCCACACCTATGATAGTGTAGCCTTCTGTCTTTTTCTGCTGTAAATAATCAACAAGCTGAGATGGTTTCACCTGGGCATCAAGTGGAAAGAAAAATATACAAATATTTAAAACACTGATATTTGTAATCTTCTAAGGTTATTGTAAAAACAATTTACAGACACCCTCTTATAGATTTAACACTTTTTATCCTCAAACACTGTGTCCATAAACATGGCTACCATTTCAACTTTCTTCAGCAATAGCACAAAAGATACCGATAGGCAGGTAATGCCAGAAAAATTTGTTCCACAAATAAATTAAAAGACACTTACTTGATTCTGACAGCTACAAACCTTAACCAACATATCTGAATATAAAAGAATTACTCTTACATAAGGACAACAGGTTAAATCCTTATTTAAACCGATATCCCTTCCTGAAACAATATAATGACTATCCAAAACTGATGAAGAGGCTTGTAAGGCAAGTCTACAACTGTAAATTATCACAACTTTAAGCCAAGAATTTTTAATATTTCCTTTGTCCTAATCTCTAAACTGCCTATTTATATTACATGCCAGTTTTGTCATGCAGCAGCAATTCTGTCATCAGTATAGTTGTCTACAGAGATTAGTTACGCAAACTTTTAGGTAGAAGGACATACATGTGTCTACTGGCATTCTATTTTATATGTGAAATACAGTATAGCTATATTGTTCTAAGAACAAATCCTAATATGCTGAAAATAAGTACCGTTTAAAAAATGAGCATTTTGCACTGAAATTTTCAGATGACTTGCCAAAGCCAGTCTTAAAAAACAGGTTATAAAATATAACCACCACTTCTTCCAGAGAATGCATAAGATGCAGGCTGACACCCTTGCTTTGCTAAGATAGATACTAGACTAAGAAGATAGCTAATATCTAAAAGATTAGTACAAACTAATTTCAGGCAAACTCAAGTGTTTATCCTTACTAAGTTAGCAAAAAGCAGCAAACCAATCAAGATAAACAGCTGAAGTTTTGTCCAAGTTTTGTTAAGTGAACATTAAATTCCAATGCACAACTATAAAACAGTTAGCTGTAACAACGGCAACTCACGTAAACCAGTTATTTGCAATAGCATGACAATGTAAGTAATATTTAAACTATTTATTACCAGGTTGACCCAACAACAAATATTGCATATTTTGGAATAATTAACAAAGATAACAGTGGGAGCATCCATATAATTAAGGGCTCATTTTTATAAGAGGAAAAGAGGGAGACTGCAAACTACATATCTGATTAACTGAAGATGCAGAGTCCGCTTCCAAGCTATTGAAGCATGATTCCATTTACCTCAATAATGGGGAGCCACTGCTCTGCAGAAACGCTAAGATGCTGAAACTGCTTGTCCTGCATATAATGAAGGCTGCCCACAACCAGTGCAGATGCCCCAAATATTTCGCTTGTGCGACACAAACCTATTAAAGGAAGAAATAAAGTGACTGTTGCATAGAAAATAAAAATATCAAGCTAGAGTGTCTCAGCAAGTGGAAAAGGACAAAAAGCTGAGGAAAAAAAAAGTCTGTTATGTTATCCAGCTGCTTTTAATCAGCGAATTGAGGTGCTTTTATCTCTCTTCCAAGTCAAACTTTTTCCATAAATCAGAAAAAAAAATTGTAGCATATCAGAAAGATAAAAAATTTTAAAACCACTGCTTGATTAATATGCTTCTGGAATATCATTAAAAATTGATAGAACACAGCAATGGGTTAGTACGCGCGTCAGCTTAGGCAGACGCTCATGGAACAGCTTCCAAGACCTGAATCCAACACCAGTTAACGTCGAGAATGCCGCAGTAGAGCACTACAGTGTAGACAGCACCAGCCTGGGGGCTGCTTCAGCCTCCACAGCTCCACTGCAGGCAGTGAACTGCTGGCAGCAGCAAGGCACTGTGCCAGGGAGTATCTGCAGGATCTGCTGTAGCACAGCTTGCACAGTATTGTGCAGCAGTGCTTTAAATCAGAAATGGGCACTTACCTGTCATTAACAGTCATGAGAAACAGTAGCATGTTTAGAAGACTTGTTTAAATTGTTACAGTAAAAAAAAAAAAAAAAAAAAGCAAGAGCAAATCATTTGCCTTTAACTATATACACAGTTGAAAGAACTTCACCTGTCACAAAGAATGCACGTACAGAAACCGAGCTTCATTTACAGCAAATTTTTGTTTAACTTGCACCATATATTTTTTTAATTTAGTAAGTATAAAATAATCTTTTCCAGAATAGGTAAAATTTCTTCTGACGAACTTTTTTTTTTTATAAAATAACAACCTATTTCTCAACAAATCGAAGTCTAAAAACACACATTCAACCTTACCTCCTAAATTGGTGGGTTTATCAATAAGTGAAGCCACTACAATCAGTCTGCTATTTGATTTACCAAGTTTAGCTGCACGATCCTGAAATGCCAGTTCCAGGTCTAAATTAGCAGTACTGTTTTTCCAGGGTATGATCTTCTTCTGAACATCTGTCCATTCTGTCTGGCTATTTGTTTCAACTGAATTTGAACCTACGAAAATAAGTATTAGTCATCTGGATATGCAAGTGGTAGTCAACCTATTGCTTCAGTAAAGATCAGTATTCAAGTGATATTACTGTAAACAGAGTCATCTTCTGATGTTTTATGGCACATATTCTGCTCTCACAGCTGTATCTATCTCACAGATACCATATTTCTCTTCAGCACAATGGCATAGAGATCACGGTCATGCAAATATTTTATTTATTACAGAAATGTACAAATACTACCAAATACAAATAACTTCATTTTAATATTTATTAGGTATATTTTACCCATGTCTTGCTGAGACCAGTCACTTGGTTTTAGATCAAGAAGTTCAGATCGAGAATGACACCACTGAAATGTTGGTGGCAAAGGAATGTCAGTAAATCTATCAAATTTACTGAGCGAGATCCATTCATCTTCGGGAAGCTCTGAAAGTCGTGGAAGAGTGTAAA